TGAGAAGAAAGGAGAAGGAAGGAAAAAATAGAGAAGAGAATTGAGAGAAAAAAAATTCTTCTTCTGCGCTAAGTGAATTTCTACTCGTTTCATTATTTCTTTCGAAAATTCAAACAATTCATCACCCTGTTTAAGACCCAAAAATGCCTCAAATTCAAGCCTAAAAACACCTTGTGAAGCTTCATTAATAGTCACCTCTCTCACGCCAAAAACCAGCAGCCTCACGAGGTACAGTCGAATTTCGGTCCGGGCTCGAATTTTAGAAGGTTCGTCGCTAGATTTTCTGCTCATCTGCCGATTTGCCCTTGGTTTGGTGTATTTGCTCGGCTCAGAATTATTTTTGCATTTAATCAAGTTCTGAAGGAAATTTTTTGCTTAAAGGTTCATTGCCTATCCTCCCTTTGTTAATTATTTCATTGTTTTGTGTGATGTTCTTATAGAGGTTCATATGATAATGTTTTGTATTGTTTTATTTATATACATTATCATGTTGTAGTTTGTTTTTACATGTTTCAAGCGATTTGTCAACAGATTATTTGAATAGGATTTCATCTTAATGAGATTTACTATTTAGAATTAAGAATGGAGATCTTGCCATATTAATGGGCCATGCGTTGGAGTTCAAGTAAGTGAACCAGAAATGAGTTACCACATTTAATAGGAAAGAAAGAATTAGACATGGGTTGGATTGAGTATAAATCTGTCAGGCCCAATAATTTTGTCACTAGACTAATAATTAGCTCATTCTTCCATAATGAATAAATGTCTCATAATTTCAAAGATAGAGTAGTAAGTTGTAAATATTTCTATGTGTGGATGACTTTTCAATACTTTAAGTAACTAATATATTTTCTGACTTCCAAATAATTTTCTATCCATAAACTCTTGGTCCTACAATAATTTCAAATTAGTTTAGGAAAATAATTGAAGTGCGCGTTCACATGACTTGACCAATCAACTTTGAATAATAATAAATATGTTATTGATTGTGTACACGTATGCGTGACATGATTTTTGACGCCAAACAAAAATGAGTACACGTACGCGTAACTTATTTCAAGATAATTTTCATAAATCTAATCAAGCAATAAAAGCGGACATAGGTAAAACATGAGAACTAATAAAACACAGGTTATCCAAAAATAATATAAGCCAAATGTAGTCAATAAAGCGACCGTGCTAGAACCACGGGACTCGGGGAATGCCTTACACCTTCTACCCGGTCAACAGAATTCCTTACTCGGACTTTGTTTTCGCAGACCAATAATAATAGAGTCAAACCTTCCTTTGACCAGGGATTCAAATAAATGGTGACTTGAAACACCCAAAAAATCAATTCCATGTGGCGACTCTGTAAATAAAATAATCCCTAGCCAAATTTGTCACTTTAATTGAAAAAACTCTTTAATCCACAACAATCCATAACACATATATCTTTTGGGGCAAAAAAAGGTGTGGCAATTGCTTCCCACAAATGTCCTCTGCCCCAATATGCTAAGTGTGAACTTGTGATATCAACTTGTCTTTTAAGTTTGTTTACCCTCTTTGGTGATATATTCATTGTGTGATCACCTCTGCAATGCCTATTTCTAAAAATGCAAATGTACTTCTTCAAATTGTACCCGTTGATCACTATTTTTCATTCTCATTGGTTATTTACCCTATTCTGAACCTATAATTCTTGGCCGGCTGAAAGCCAAGGCCACTCAAGCTTTCTCTATTAACCTCCCTAGTGTGGGCACTGCTCGGGGTCCATTTTGAGACCCTTTGAACTCTGACACACTAGGACCTGAGGTTCTTTGGTCACTTTCTTTACTACTCAGCTATGTCCCTCTTTCTGTTTGTTGAATGTGCAAATTGATTTGTATGAGTGATTGGTTTCTGGATCCTATGATCAAACCATGCCTGTTTGGTTTGGTTTGAGTTCTCCTATGGTTTTTGGCTATGTTGAGATCCGTGTGTGCTAAAAGGTGGAGAAAGAGCTTAGTTGAAGGCCTGGCAGTGATGGGTATCTCTTTGGGCATGTCTTGGGCCTACTGTTATTACTTGTACTACTTTGTAATTTATTCATTATTGGGTCTGTAATAATTCTGTAATAACAATTGGGGTAATAGTGAAATTGGGAAATGGGTATCTCCTAATACTTACATGAAAAGGGTAGAAAGCATGCTCATAGGATTTGTGTGATACATTTGCTTTCCGACCTGTTATATTTAAATATCTTTGTGCACTATTAGAGATCATGTTATTAGGGAAATCACACACTTACATAACTGGTGTACTGTCAAAGCATGAGTGCTCTATTTATTTCCATGTCTACTGCTATGTGTTGCTAGATAGCATGCCTATAGGAAATAATTGCTAACAATTATTCTTTAATCTGCACCATGTTCATTAGATACCATGCCTATAGGATTTTAACTAATTAATTCGCTTCGTTCATCTAGACAACATGCCTATAAGAGCTAAAGGTATAAAATCAATTCCAATCGTCAATCTCTAGAAATCATGCCTAGAAGACGTCACTACTCATTTTTCAAACGTTGTTTCATTGCTCATCCACGCAATTATTAGGAAGCATAGGTAATTTTGAGCATTTCCAATAAGTTTCACTATCTGTGCAAACCATTTAGAGATCATGCCTATATGTCTATTAACTTATAATCTGTAATAAGCGACTTAGCAGCAGCAGGTATTCATAACTGGTAATTTAGAAATCATAGGTCTAAGATAGCCTGCATATCTGAATCGGATCATCTAAAAGCCATGTTTATAGGGCTTAACGAATTCAATCTCCCTCAATTCTGAAACTGCCTAATACCCTACATAGAAATCTGTCTGCGTACCTTTGTTGTCTAATCGCGGGGGCTAACTTGAGCCTTTAATTGTATTTAATTGCAGTCCTATCTATTTTGAACTGTCGCCTAGCTTTAACATTTTCTAAGCAGCCTAAGTCAAGTCTAGAACCACCTAAAATAGAGGTCTAAATGCCTCATCGACCATAGGTATGGGACGGGTAGTGCACGCATAAAGCACGATTTAGAATCAACTAGTGCGCTTTAGGTAATAACTTAAAGATAGTAATCGGGTAGCAGGAGATGATAGTCTGTGCCCGCTGAATAATACGAGTAATACCCCATCTCGAGGGTGATCCTTTAGGCTAAAAAAATTTAGGACCCCCCTCCCTCCCCCATCTTATTCTTGTTTATCTTTGAATCAAGTGTTCGTATTTACTTAAAGTCTTTTAATAAATTTCCCAAATTTCTTGTTTTTCTCTGTCTTCCTTTATCTGACTAATTCATATAATTCAAGTTCGGCTAGGAACCACAGTTGTGCACCTCGAAGAATTCCTAACACCTTCTCTTTGAGGTAATTTTAAACCCTTACCCGATCTTTGGTGATGCAAACCAGTTTAATCCGAGTCATATGCAAATAGGTGCCCTAACGCACCTTAAAAATCGTTAGGTGGCGACTCTCATCTTTTAATACTTCCTTAAAAGAGTTGTCATATGTCGAAACCCGATTTCGCGAGAAAAATAGGAGCGCGACACTATCAATTGCAGATGTTTAATCAAAGACTCTGCAAGGTCATTTTGAGTGTGAACATGAGCTACAGGATGTTCCACTTTTATCCCAATTTATAAGAAATAATCATTAAATGTTTGGGATGAAAACTCAGGGGCATTATCAAGTCTAATAGACTTAATTGGATTATTGGAAAATTATGCCCGTAATCGGATTATTTGTGCCATTAATTTTACAAATGCCAGGTTGCGAGATGACAATAGGCATACATGAGACCATCTAGAAGATGCATCTATTAAGACCATAAAATATCTAAACGGCCCACTAGGTGGGTAAATAGGTCCACAAATATCCCCTTGTATACATTCCAAAAACGCAGGGGACTCAATCCCAACCTTTGTTGGTGATGGTCTAATAATTAACTTGTCTTGATAACAAGAAGTGCAAAAAAATTTATTATTTAAAAGAATCTTTAAATTCTTTAATGGATGCCCATTTGAGTTTTCTATAATTTGTCTCATCATAATTGATCTAGGATGTCCCAATCGATCATGCCAAAGTACAAAAGTATTGGAATCGGTAACCTTTTAGTTTACGATAGAATATGCCTCAATTGCACTAATTCTTGTCCAATACAGGCCACAAGATAAAGATGGGAACTTCTCAATAACCCTTTACTGGCCAGAGACATTCTTGGTAATGATGAGATATTCGAGATTATTCTCATCTATTGTCTCAATATGAAATCCATTTCGACGGATATCTTTAAAACTCAATAAGTTCCTCTTGGACTTGGAGGAGAACATTGCATTCTCTATGACAAGTATGGTTTCATTAGACAGAGTTATAGTAGCTCTTCCAGAGCCTTCAATTAGGTTACTACTACCAGAAATTGTAGTAAAATCTGCCTTACACATACTTAAATGAGAGAAATATTTCTTCTCTTTGAATATTGTATGTGTCGTACATGAATTAATTAAGCAAATATTTTTACAATTGAACTTTGATCCAAGTTTACTTTGAGAGATATCCATATTTGCTTAGTCTTCTCAAAGAGCTTCTTGAGACGATAGAGTCTCGTGCTGATAACATGTTATAAAATATAACTCAAAGTAACAATATAGAACAAGAAAAAACAAGCTAAGAGATATAGAGAGAAAGAGAGTAGAGATTCTTATTTCTTCTTTAATTGTGTGTATTTTCTTATCTATTACAAGACCTTTATATAGGCATGAAAAGTGAAGAAAATACGTCAATGAATATGTCATTAAGCATTTGGGTTGAAGATCATGGAGGAAGAATATACATCCACCATAATTTGATATTTCTTATAACAATAATGAAATTTCTCCCTCTACATTGTATTATCCTTTCCTTTTCTTGTGCTAAAGGGGATATATTTAATATTATAAAATTAATTGCAATTAAAGTAAAAAAATAATCATGAGAACTCATAAATACTTACAATTGCAATAAATAAATATACGAAATAAAGTTATATATGCAAACTCATACATGATATTGATAGGAGTTTCAGCGATATGTCTGAAAGTATAACTCCTAGAGGGATCTCTAAATCCCAAAATACTTACAATTGCAACACTAAGGTGCAAAAGTTAGGAAATAAAGAGTTTACACAAGATTAATTAACTTATAGATACAACAGAGTTGAAGCCCAGTTTTTAATCGAATTAAGAAAACCTTGCATAAAGGGCTTCCAACAAGGGATTAATTAGCACTTAGTAGCACTTCCAATATTATTGTCTTGCTTTTAAAGTCTCTTACACTGGAGAATTAATTTGTGCGACTTCAAGATTTTTACCATCTTTAGCATCTTCATTTTCAGTACTGTCCGTGGATGGGAAACTAACTGGATTAACCTCAGAATTAACTGTTGTAGGCTGCTGCTCCTCCAGCTTCACAACCGTGGGTAGTTTCTTCTCTTCTGCCTCATTTGGCTTGGCGTTTCTGTATATTCCATATAATACCATTTGGAGCATTCCAAGTATGATTCCCGCAATATTTGGTACCTGTTCTTTTATTACGTGGGGAAGAACAGCCAATTGGTCGAGGAACCAAACATTAGGTACATCATACTAATGTTAACATGGACGATATCAGTATAATTTAACGTGTTATAGCATGTTATATATATATATATATATATATATATATATATATATATATATATCCGTACTTATTATGGACGGTGGCATGTAAATGTCTTTTATATTGTTAGTAAATAAAAATAATTAAATTTATGTTGATATATTTACAATAGTTTGGTACCCATGTTTGGTATTGTACTTTTAACTATTTAATAATATGACCACAAACTATCTTACTGAACGCTATTCCACGGTAGGCTTAAAAGTTAAAGAGAGCGATAATATAATTACCGTGACATAGATGTCCCTCAAAAGTAAACCGTATAAAAACCACATTACAGCACTAAGTGTAAGGGTTAACGACAGGTTAAATGGCATGAACTCCACACTTTTGGTCCGTATTACCCGCCCCTACAAATTTAACATAATGAAATAGCGTCAGAGAGAGTTGTCTTCGCATTAAATACCTAATTATCATAATTAAAATAATCAAAGAGTTATACTATCTTTGGTAGAGTTCTTTGGTTAGTTACCATAATGCTTAGAGGTGCTACAAATACACTAATAGAAAACGCCATGCAAATCCATCCAACAACTTCAGCTCGTTTTGGTCCTTTGCATAAAATTTGGGTAAGGAAAAGAATCAATCCAAAGCCACCGAAATTCAACAGTAGGACAAGTCTCAGTGTTTGCATCTGCAAAACCATTCCAAATTTCACAATCCACGAAACTGTGTAACAATAACTAAAACATAACGAAATAAATACTAGGAGTATAATCTATAGGCACAAAATTGAAGTTGTGCATACCCTTGCTTTTTTAGTCGCATAAGCAAAATAAATAGCAACATATATAGTCTCCGCAATGCAGCCAAAGGAGTTGATGGTGATGATAAGGGTTTCATTCGTCTTAACCATTGCATAGTAAATCCAAAGCATTGAACTAAATAATGCAACAACATACGGCACCGATTGAAACCCTTCCGCTGATTTCTTCTTAACGATCCCATAAAATGTAGGTCTGCGAATCAGATGTTAAAAAATAATAATTAATTTTTAGTTGTTGGTAAGATATAATAAAGCTTACGTCTAATTTAATTTTCGAGAAAAAACTTACACTGGCGAAATAAACACCATGAAGGAGAATATGTTACCTGCAACATTGTCAGAATGGAAATGCATTAATTACTTCTCGACAATTTCTTTTCTTTTTTTTCTATTCCTCAAACAAATTTATTCTAGTTTCATGCATATGTAATTAATTTTTTATTTTTTATTTTTGTTAAAGATATTCTTCCTCCTACTGGAATGTAGGAATATATTTGAGAAACGAAAACAAAATACTCCTAGAAAACAAAGGTTTTGGCTGAATTTTTTTGTAGTCTAGGTGATACTAGTAAGAAAACTTATACTATAGTTTTCTAAAGCAGTATAGAGACGCCAACTTGCTTGAACTGAGTAAGATGCAAATATAAATATGGGTGAATGCTGTGAAAAATATATAGGGGAAGATATGGCTACTAGATATATAAGCTAGACGTTTAATTTACCCAAAATGCCAAAGGCAAAGATCAAAGGATGGTTTGCCATCTCTTCAGGCTTTTCTTCGTCTTCTTCTCCTCTCAAAGGCAGAAAAGCTAGGGTAATTAAGATAGAGTAAAATCTAAAGGCTACCCAAGCTCTTCTGTTGATAAAACAATAGTTACTATCACATATTTATAGTGAAGGCTTGGAATGTTTACTACATGAGGAGTTTATGCATATGTGGCATGCAATAGTTACTTTAGCACTACAAATGCTTAGGGATGGATGCGTTAAGGTGACGAGTTCATATGAATATAATACTGTTGACGCAGAGCATAAATATAAATATTAGTGTTAAAATTTATTATAATTATACTTAACAAATACTTCAACAAATATTAACTCATAACTTTAAAATATAATATATTTAATATTAAAAATCTAAAAATTGAACCTATAAAACTTAAATCATGAATTAGTTTCTTCTAATGCTGACACCATATTAGCATCCACTAGGTGGTTAAAAACAAAAACTGGCTGGAAAACTGCATAGATTATTATCTCCTTTTCCCCCATTCCCATCTCCTCGGCAACTCCAGAAAAACAATTTTTTTTTAAAATGGGGCATAGCATTTCGTGGCATTCGAATTTTGGAGAGTTGAACTTTTAGTCCATGTAGTTTCAGCAGAGGATGTTTTGTTTTTTAAAAGAATTTCAATTGCGTCGCCGAACCATTTTGACCTAGGAAATTTCAAATTTTTGGTATTTTGAACCCAGTGTCTAAGCCTTTTGTTCCCAAGTATTTCTTTTTCTTTTTCTATTTCTTAAAAAACTTTTTAATCCCTAGATGAACGAAATTCCGCATGTTAGTGCTTTCATCCTGAAATCTAATAGAAACGGTAAATTCCAAAGCGTTAAAAAATTAAGAAAGCATATCTGCAGTATAACTAAATTATTTAAATTAAAGCACGATACAAAGAAATGATATAACATCTTACAAGCTAATTAATAATGGGTAATTTCCAAGATATTTACGCGACCAAGTGACTTATTTTCTAACACTTTAGACATTAAATCACATCACTTTGATCATTTGCCAAACGATTGGCCATTTGTTTGACTTGCTCTTCTGTGTCAAGACATTTAGCTCATTTCTTTGACTAGCTAGCTTTCCATACTAACATGTATTTTTTGCTAGGTCAAGAAATTATATTTCTATCAATTAGGTTTATAGAAAATTTTCTGCAAGAACTCGATTTTAGTCTTGGATTAGAAGATCTAATATCTGGTGAACTTGCAAAACTATTAACTCTAGTCTAGAAAGGGAAAAAAATATATACTAGTATACTTATTTATTGACCGTGTGAAATGGACAGTCATTACGCCAGTTTTTTTATTTTTTTACACCAATAATTTTGCACTTTCAGCCGATTTCAGATAATTGTATGACGTGAACTCCCCTTTCCCATTTTTTCTTTTTCTGAATGGCCCTTCAGGTGCTCGAACACATAGCAGTATAACTTTCCTTTTGAATATTTAACAGCACTTAAATAAACCCCCTAAGTCCGTAGCTGTCATTAGAAAAGTACTATACATAACGTAGCTGCGGAGAAAACTGCGATACAACTCTGATTATTCGACTACTTAGCCTATCATTGAACACATTAATTTCCAGACGAACCTGTAAATTGTCATCAGCAAAATGGTATTGCGCTCTATCTCTATTGCTTTTTTGACTGCCACCTGTCATCACCCGATTCATAACTCACAAAAGAGTCACTGTCTTTGTCGATACATGTGGCACCACATGCTCTCATGAAAACTCCACAAATTTACGCCTCTAACATAGGTAACTTCCTCAAATCATCTGTACTACCTATTGGAAGATGAATAAAATACGCAATTGGTTTTTTAAAATAAAAAAACATAAGTAATGCAGAAACCCTATTCGTTCTTCTTCTTTTACCCAAAATCGGGTTAGTCTGCATTTCTACGAAGAATTATAAATAAAGATGGGAATATTTAATTTGTTGCCATTAAAGGTACTTTACCGAACCTTTGAACAAGTTAGGATTGATTTTTGAAATAGTATGTGCGATAGTTGGTTGTCTATTACATGAGGAAGATAACATTCAATTACTTGATAATCTTTCCATCGATAGAATAACATATCAAGATTTGTTTGCCGTATTAAAATAAATCTCTAGCGTGCGGCTCGCTCTAATGGTACAGTACCTCTACCATCAATCCATAAGTAAGAAACAAACCGGAGAATAAAAGGAAGTAAAGGGCACCTTAATTTTTTCCGTTCTTAATTATGCGCAATGTAAGCTACCACTACTAAAAATCTGCTAAAAATCGACCAACTATTTCCGACCAACGTTGGTCGGTCAAAAAATGCGACCAAAAACCGTCCAGGTTGGACGCAAACTGGGAAAAAAACATTTATATTTTTTTTAAACAAAATACCGACCAACGCTGGTCGGTAAATTGGTCAATAGCTGGTCAGACAAGAAAATTTTGGATTACCGACCAACGTTGGTCGGTAATTTGGATCCAATTTTTTAAATTTTAATAATTATTTTATTATTCTTAAATATTTTATAATATTTAAGAATTTATATTTAAAATTACCGACCAACGTTGGTCGGTTAAAGATTTTAATTTTTTTTTATAAAAAACCGACCAAAGTTGGTCAAACGGTCAGCACTTAATGTACCGACCAAAATTACCGACCAACTTTGGTCGGTAATTCTAAAATCAGAGAAGTGAAAAACGGG